ATATATATATATATATATATATATATATATAGATAAATAGATAGAGTGCTGTAGGATACGAATTGCATAAGTATGGCTCGACTCGTTTGTGGTGAATTCTTGAAAAAGCAATCGTGCTAGAAAAGTTGAAAAAAGAGACATAATAATAATTTGATAAGTTCAATGTAAGGACCTCGTATACAAGCCGCGCCTTAGTCCTTAACGCTCAAATGATCGGTCTGACATGTTGGAAAACTAGTCATGCTATGCTATGCGGCTCACCGGGTACTGGCTAATTTTTTTGCTTTGTCGGAGCGCCTCCTTGATATCGCAAGAGAGAAAGACGGTGCTGAAGGTAGACGGGAGTCGACACTAAATGCACACATCTTTCCCGCACTCGTTACAATATCCTACCAAAGTGTCTTTGAGTCGGTGTCTGTTTTGCTTCGAATGGGAACCTGTTATGAGATGCAAAATAGCGTGCGCGCGCGATCTTACGTCGGGTGGTGCATACGGTGCAAGCGATGCGTGTCGAATCCTTCGAGATTCTCATCTGAAGAATGTCTGGCGAATGCGACAGTGCGTAAAATATGAAATGCTGGCACGGAAAAACTCAAGTCAAGTCATGCGTTCCGTGAACGCTCGATGGTCCAGCGACTTTAATGACAGTGATCTGCGTCATTGGAAGAGGGAGAGGAATGAAGCGGCAATTGAGATTTTTTCCCGCGAGAAAACCTATGTCTCTCCTTTTTCTACGGGCGCTTGCTTTTTATTTATTATCGAATTGCTCGTGCGGCACCAAGGAAAACTCCCAACACCCGCTACTTATACAGACATATTTTCAGTCGGGGTTCAGGACTTGTCATATCATGCCGCAGAGATGATAGATTGTATCGCAGAAAATTGGCGTCCTAAGCGACTTGTGCAAACTTAACTGCACGGCCACATAGCCACACAAGTGGCACAACGTTCCGACGACGAACTCTGACAGCTAAGACTTCAGAGGAACCCGATGACGGCTTTTATAAAATCGAGTCGCTGTCGCTCTCGATATTCTCGATATTCTCGATATCCCTTTTGATCTTCTCATTGTTGTAATGGATTCTAGTATAAAATAAACGTATAATGCGCGGCTCACAACAGTAACGTACATCATCATTTACTTCAAATTTATTCCGAGCCCCGTGCAATTTTTTATTTTCTTTTACAGTCGGCGAGCCGCGCGTTGCTCAAGTGCTATTAAATCTCGGTTTCTGGATCCTCGAGCTTTCATTATCACCTCGAAAGCACGATCTTGAGTTCGGCGATGTTGAAGCAATTGGGCAGCAAAAATTACGATTCATTCAAAGCTCGATCGAGCGATTGGACGAATCCGTGCAAATCTTGAAGTGCGCAGAGCGAGCCGCCGGTCCCGAGCCTCTAGCCGTTAATCAAGTAGAGCGCTCCAGTGGCAGGGGGCCGCAGCTATAGGTGTAGTTGCGAGTAGAAATTGCGGTGAAAGTTCAGAAAGTTCAGCCGTGGCAACCGCGGAGGTATTGGGTGAGCGCTCGCTTTAGTGAGCGGAGCCTCGAGTCCGTACGCACGCTTCGTTTCCACGTTCTTCCGCCTTCCCTCGATTTAATTAGGAGCGGCGAGTGCGCGCGCCTGCGCCTGCGCCTGCGAATAGCAAACCGGTGCGAGTAAATCATTGCTGCGCATAAAAAGGCGCCCGATGACTGGATGGAAAGCGGGGGAAACCTACGGCCCGGACCGGCTAAGCCATGCGGGAGTACGCGTGCCTTTCCCCTCTCGCTATCGCCACGAACTATCGGGCTTCTTTTTCAGGAGCTACGCCTGCGCCATCCATTTGCCGCTCCTTATCACATTCTCGAATTCGAACGCTCTTTACTTTGTTGTTTTTATTTTCTGCGAAAGAGCAAAGCACGCCGCGTGAGGCATTTTTCATCCGCGATCCTAATTAGTATTCAATAAAGTATTATGCCATTGAGTAAAAACGCTCGGCGCATGTAAGGGGGAAAGTCGATAAATCGAGAGCACGTTGAACAAGATCGATGCCGTGGGATTTCGAGGGAGCATCGATTACGAGAGCGTACACGACGAGCGGCAGAAGAGATCGCTGAGTCGCTACCGATCTCGATGAAAAACTGCCGATGTGCTCGACAGCTCGCAGTGCTAAAGCGAACACTGGTTCGGCCTTCGTCGCTGCGGCTTCGTCTACAATTTCATTTCTTAATCGATGCATCGATCGAGCGACGCGTAACGGCTCGCGAAAGTCCAAGGAGTGTCGCGTATCGAAAAACCACATTTCGACGAGATATCGTTGAAAACAAGTCGGTGAAAAGTCGGTGACGAGTCAGCACGAATCTGTCGAGGAATTAGCAATGCCTCGGCCCCCCAACGCTCGGCGACGAGGCGTTTCTCGGAATGTGTGGCCACTCACACACAGCCAGGTCGAGGGCGAACATCGCGCACTGTAATCACAGCGCACGCGAGCCCTCGAACACGCACTCGGCGCCCATCCGCGTAATCGTAGCCGGCGGCGGCGCGCGTCCGCACTACTACCGAGCGGGCCGGTCCCCGCATCGGAATTCTGTTTGGGAAGGAGGGCCCGAGATCCGCGAGCGCCGGCTTCGACGACGGACGCCCCGATCAGCGAGCACGGGGTCGAATTCCATTCCTAGCTGATCGTAATGGCGTCGACTGACCACCACCCAGGAAACGATGCCTAAGTATACACTGCAAGGCCGTAGCCTTCCACCTCCCCACCGACCTCCAGCCCCCGCCGTCCCCGTAAGTCCCCACTTCCAACGATGCCCTCCGTCCCAATCCCCCCGCCCGCCAATCTCCACCTCCTCACCTCGTCCCCCGGCGGACGCGTAATTTAACTTTAAACGCTCGCCCGCGCATCTTTACTATTTTACTGTCGGTTGCAACCTGAGGCATCTCTTTCTCCTTTGCCTGCTCCTCTGCTCTGCGATTTTTATGTAAATTTTTTTAATAAGCCCTTCGCTCATCGCTACCCCCTCACTCTTCCCCGCACTGACCGACCGTCCCATTCCGTCTCACTCTCTCTCTCTCTCTCTCTCTCACTCTCACTCTCTCTCTCTCTCTCTTTCTCTTTCTCGCTCTCTCTCTCACTCACTCACTCACTCCCTCTCGCATGCTTTAAATTCTTAGCGCCTGACTTAGCCACCGATAGACCCGTCCATTTATTCTTTACCGACACCTTTATGCTTTGTTTTCTACGTCAAATCTCCTACCAAGTACCCAAGCCGAATAATTTTGCGTTTATCAGTTATATACGATAGGGTAAAGCTTCGTAAATCTTTAAAACTTCGTGGTCGTTGGACCTTTCGAGCTGCATCCCGAATATTATAATGCAATACGCGCCTCGTTTATTTAGATAATACAAATAGGCAGGCAGTCGATTTTATTAAACGTTGCTTTTGCAGAAAACCGACTGGGAGGGCACTTCTAGCGTAATGGTCTAGCCTTTTCTTTATGTTTTTATTAAAGACCGAGAGAGCTTGGTATCGGTAGCCGAAAAAAGGGGACGTCCAAACTCGTGTAATGCGCTTGCACAATTGGTGTAAAAAGAGAAAGAGAAGGAAGAAGAATCGATGTTACGAGCGTTACGCTAGGCGAAACCGTACGTACAAATATTCGTAGAGGTCGATGGTCTATGGATTGCGAATTGACGCGTAGCTCCGTTCGTGAACGAAATCTGTTTTTTAAGGATGGGTGAACGAATAGGGCTGAGAGAGGAGGCGGTTCAGCCTCCTGCGCTTGGTCGC